AATTTGATGGCTATCGCTGGGGAGGAAGGCTACGCAATTGGCATTGGCATTGCCATCTGCGTGTTGGCGACACACGCACCAAAATTCCCGGGCCGACAGGGCAAAGACGCCGTTCAACATTGCTTATCAATGTTGCACAATCGAGAAAGAAGCCTGTGACGCACCAGCATAACGAGATACTCGCAGTATACCAAGTAGGCGATGGGGACACAAATGCGGGAGGGTTTTGCCTTATGGGTTCTGAGTTCTGGGTTCTGGTTTCTGGGGAAAAAGAACAGCAGTACGTGGCGCAGACAATCAGATGGTAATGTGTGCAAAACAAATCAAGCAACAGGACCTGTGATGTAATCAGGCAGCGAGTAAACCAGGGATGCGGCAAGAACTCTTCCGAAAATGACGCAAGCAACTCTGGCCCGGAATTCCCAAGTGTTGCAACGGAAAATGGCAAATTCATGTTCCTTATTGAAATTGATGGCAGGCGTCTGTGATACGGGGTGAAAATCCATTATTAGGTGGTTCAACCTGCACAGCTGTTATTAACTGACTTATTGGAAAAATGATTGATATAGTTGTTCATTTGACGGAAATCAATGTTTGAATATGTGCTGCACAGGCACTCAAGTGAAGAACTCGTGAGAAGTGAGAACTCGAGATTCTCGACCACCGTGCTGGTTCAAACTGCATTAAATGATCTTCAATTTGGCACTTTTCTGCTGCCTCTTGCGGGCTTTTACATTTTCCAGGGAACGCTGCATCCCTGCATGAAATCACAATAGATCAAACTAATATCGCATATCAGTCTCACCCATCCACAGTCCATATTCAGGCGAACACACGCACACAACTGCGACGAAGGACTTGTCAGCGGGCCATCGTTGTCGCCGCGGGCTCAGACACAGGACTGCACTGAGCGAAAAAACGCCTTGGTTAGCAAGTCCTGTATGTGCGACTTTGGAGCTTAGGCTCCCAGTTTTTCCCAGTGTCCTTTGCGAGCTCGAGTTTGAAGCTGCAGGCGTTGTTGCCACCGACGTCTCCTTCTCGCCATTTTTCATTTCATTGCGCCGCTGCACTGCTGGCTGTCAACTGCCAGGCCAAGGCGCAGATGGAGATGGAAGCGGAGTCTAAGCCGCCCGCCAGCTCAGCTGCAGCCTCCTTCGAAATTGTGGTGGCGGTATGGGTAAAGGAGCCGCGCGCCCGCATATCGATTTCAGCGCATTGTGCCCATGTTTGCATACAAATATCCTAAGGACATGTCACAGAGACGCACTGTGCAGCCCGCTGTCCCTTAGCGATTCCCGGTTGCCAACCGCCGCTGGCTCACGTACGCATGTAAATTGTATTTGTGTGTGTGCAACACACACACCCGTACGTAGAAGCCCACATGCCCGCCTTACATCCTTGAGCTGCTTGTGCTTGATTTCATTTGCTCGGGCAATTGTCTTCGGCGGCGTCTGCCTCGACTTTATTTTTGCCTAAAACTTCCACACAAATGCGAATGCCTCGCTCTCTGGCAACTTGTCAGGCAGCGATATTTCCAAAAACGAAAAAAGAAAAACCTCCTGCCGATGGTATTCTGCTGCATGTGGAAGGTCCTTTGTGCTTTTGTGCGTCGCGTCGCGTCCTCTTTTCAGGAAGACAGCGAATTGGCCTGCGCTGCTGCCTGCCTGTGACATTTGATGTTTAATTTCAATAACTCAGTGCTCTCGCATTTTGAATTTTTTCCCTTCATCTGCTTTTGGGATGCGAGTGTGTGTGTGTGTGTGGGGGAGTTGATTGGCCATGGAACTGAAGGGCCATGAGTCCCGATTCCAATTATAGCTGTCCAAAATAAGGACGAGTGCAAATTACACAAATTTTACATCCAATAGAGCAGTCACACAGTAATGGTCTTAAATTTTTCTGGAATTCGGAAGCTTAAAGGGAATAACTTTTTAATTGCAAATGTAGTTATCGATTCTTACTGCTCTTAATAGCATTAAGTACTGTACTTATAATTGGTTTTTCCTAAAATAAATCCGGACTTTAGAGCGCTCATAGCCCCGCTTACAATTGCATTACGATTTTGATGTAGATCTTGTTGTTCCAGACACATTACTGGATTTATTTTCAAATTTCCTTTGGTTTCTCTCTGGTTATATGCACTCACCCATGCCCGTGCCTCGAAAAATCCCCCCTTTTTGAATTTCCAATATTATTATAAATGCCTCGAAATCCAATTACTTTACCACAATGTCCGAAATATATTTTGATTTCGTATTCCCATCCCAGTTTCGGGCCCTTGGCTTTTGTGGTCAACGCACAACCGCTGGTGCAGCATTCGAAAACCCAAAACCCCGAAAGCCCGAAAACCGTAAAACGCAAGTTGCAACAAACAAAGAACTCATGCGGCTTGCAATTGTGAAGGGTCAACATTCAACATTCAACATTCGACATTCATTTTTGGGGGAATTTCACTTTTCCTTTTTCCCCATTATTCGGCTCAGTGGGAGATCGAATTCGAGGCTAGAAGGGAAATTTCCGGGCGGGAGGTGTGAAAATGCCAAAACAGATGGACATAGAAGCGGCGCATTTCATTGACTGACTGCTGCTGGGAATTAATTGAGGCAGCTTGACAGCTGCCCTGGCCTCTAACCGGGCCCAAATAGAGACCCCTCCAATTCCGCCCAACCTGGCTTAAAGTCTGGCCTTAAAGCCCGGAATACCAGCGGGAGTCTGACTGAAACAGAGTTGTCAGAGTTCGAGTCTGTTAATGAGCATTCAACTGGCTAATTAATTTTATACATTTATTAAACTTTGCCCCGCCACTCGCCACTCGGCAGTCGGCAGTCGGCAGCCATCCCACAAACTATTTACCATACAAATCTAATTTTATCAACTTTGTCTTTGGCCGCTTAACTAGCCGAGTTGTCCTGTGTTGTCCTGTTCCATTTCTCTAGCTGCTCGGCCAGGACCTCTGGGCTTCTTCCCCAACTCCTGTCAAAACATTGTGACACAGTTCTGCTTTCTTACAATTTGCCCCGCTCTTTATTTAGCCACGTTTGCTACGGCTAGCGCCATTCTCTTGGCTCATTAACGTTGGCCTTTGTTTCGTCCTGTCATCGTTGTCGTCTGCTGCCCGGAAAAGCAGGAGGAAAGCCGGGGAAAGTGGGCAAGTGGGCAAGTGGGAAAGGATATAAAGGAGACAGACAGCTGGAGCTGAGCCATCCTGGCATTCTGCATCTATCGCCTTTGTGCGGTGGCCTTTGTAATTTATAAAAGTCCACCGAACGGTCTTCGGCTATTCCTAATATCAGTTGAGCTGGCTGGCTGGATGGCTGGCTGGCTGGATGGCTGGAGCATGTAAATCAGGTCAAAACAATGCAACTGACAGTGAATTGTGTTCGGTTGTCGTCCCCCCAGCTCGGCCCCCCCGTGCCACAATGACACATTCAGGACTTGAACAGTTTTACTTCATTACTGGTTACTCAGCAATTCATTCGGAGAACACAGAGACACACCTTGTGTCTGAGCAAGTGTCCCTGCTCGGGCGCCATCGCATTGCCCTTTTTATGGCCATGTCCTTTTGCTTATCCTGCCTGACTAATGACAAGCAGTGGTGGCCGAATCCTCTCCGCTTTTGCAACCGCTCGGCCTTTTGTCAACCACTTTGCTTCGACTTGGTAACGGCGTCCTTTCGGCCATGGACTCCTCTTTTTGTTTCTTGGCGAAAAACGGAAATCCAACTTACATGGAGGGGCATAGGACCAAAGTGGGCGTTTCCAGGCATAGCACGGAACAGAACAGGCTCCTTTTTCGACTTGGGCAGGTGCTCTTCTCTCTATAACAAAGGCATAAATTATTTGTGCTGTCAACATGGCTTCCACAGCCCTCCTGTAAATGGCAGTTGGCCTGCGAACTCGAGCTTATTGTTTGTCTATTGATTTGAATTTCCCCTGGAATTATGCAAGTTATTTTATATCTCTATGCTCGTATATTCCCTTCGCTCCCACTCGGCCAACAAATGTTTGTTGTATCTCAGCATGAGTGGGGGACTGATGGATGTTTAATTGTTATGGATATGCACAGTAGACTTAAGCAATCTGTAAGTTCGATTAAAAACGTCTGCAGATGAACGGGCAGATATATGGGATCACCTTTTGAGGTATTGATTGCTGTCACATTGAAATAAATTGCTTCTGGCACTACAAAAGGATACTATACACATTATGATAAGCTGTTGTTTTTGTAATTTATGGTATAATTAAATTCACGTTTTCGACTATGGGGCCTTATAATTACAAATCTGTTGCACGTAAATTATCATTAAGCACTTTAAATAATTGTAAAATTAATCGACTGAAGTAGAGCATAGAAAGTTAAATGCATTGCACCTTATCTGATACTGAACTATTTTAGGCACAGTACTAATACAACTGCATTTCAAGCAAATTTAATGATTCACAAATGGTGAAGCTCATAATTACCGCTTTACTACAAATTCGTTTCTAGACCTGTGCTAATTTGGTAAATTATTCTGCGCCGGCCTTCGTCCGATGGCAGCATCCTCTAATATATTGCTGTTATTATGTGAGATTAAAAGCCTTCTGAAATATCAATTGGGGATTCGGCAGTGGGCAGAAAGGCCAGAACAAATGGCATGCAAATCAATTGGGCGAGTGTGAATGGCTCAAACAAAGGCCAAAAATTGTCAAACTCTGACCGCATCCAAATACAATAACTGAATAATTGATTTGTTGTGGGGCCGGCAACTAATTGCGACTAACTTTGCTGATTTGTGTAGCAAGTTCCTGGCCCAACTGCCCATCGCAAATGGCAAATGGACTGATAATGGAATATAATTACAATCGAAAAAGGGAAATTTGTTGTGGAGTAATTGTCCGTATTGTGCGTAATCAAATTTTGATTCATCTCGCAAAAAGTTTAATTGCCTTAATTGCATTTCCCTTGATTCTGATTCAGACTGATCTGGTATAAAAGCCGCAAGTTTCACCCACATAACCAACAGTCGGTGCTTTCGAGTGAATTCAGAACAGCTTCAACAAATACATAACTCAAAATGAAGTTCACTCTTTTCTGTGTTGCCCTGGCTGCTCTTTTCTCCATGGGACAGGTAAAGGATGCACCCACTGTTCGCTGAATTTTGTTTTTCACCCATGGAAATGTCTTCGTAGTGTAATCCGGACATCCGCCAAATAATGCAGCAGTGCATGGAGTCCAACCAGGTGACCGAGGCCGATCTCAAGGCGTTCATGGCCGGCGGGATGCAGAGCAATGCCCAGGAGAACCTCAAGTGCTACACCAAGTGCCTGATGGAAAAGCAGGGCCACTTCGCCAACGGCCAGTTCAATGCCCAGGCCATGCTCGACACCCTCAAGAATGTGCCCCAGATCAAGGACAAAATGGACGAGATTTCCTCGGGAGTGAATGCCTGCAAGGACATCAAGGGAACCAACGACTGCGACACGGCCTTCAAGGTGACCATGTGCCTGAAGGAGCACAAGGCCATTCCCGGACATCACTAATTGCTTGGTGGCATTTTGTAAAATAAACTTGTTCACGTTTAGCCGATTCGAAGTTTATTTGTAGAGATAATAACAGGATGCATGTCTTTCGAGTGCAGAAGTCAGTGTAACTTTTATTAAAATCCCAAAATCCTAATAATTCAACTAAAACAACTGCGTCCATAATGCAATCATATAGGAGTTTCTTTTATTACCAGGTATTGCCTTTCATAATCCAATCCAATCATACCAATCGATAATTAACCAGCTGCGTCACATCGAGCCATTGCGACCTAGCCCAAAACCCAGGTCGAAATCGAAAAAATCATCGGGGAGCCCAGAATGATAAGCCAATAGCTACCAGAAATGAGGAAAAGGCCGAGTTAAGAGTTGACTTGGCTGCCACATTCCGTGATTTATCAAGTCTCGAGATTCCGGGAAGCCGTCATTGACAACCTGTTTCCTTCGAGCCAAGTCTACGAAAATCATTTGTCAATTTTAATAAGTTTAAAATCAAGATAATTAAAAGAGAAGTTCGAAACAAGGGGGTGCCTGGCAACCGACGGAATGCGGGACGTGGCGATGTGGGGATGTGGGGATGAGCATCCTTTCCTTTTCTTTGGAACACTGTGACACCAATTACCGCTAATAAATCATTTCACGTGTGAGACGCTCCCGCCTCTGCCTCCATTTATACATACCCATATGCACTGGTTCTATGCTCGTACGTACCTTTCGGGTAACATATGAGCTGCGCTTAATGGCGAAAATCGGGGCGAACGGGGATTGTATGGGATCGAGAGCCAATGTAACCATACATAAATCAACGCCGCAGCAGCCTGCACTGGAGGAAGACGAACGCGGTTCGTTGCACTTGTTTGCCGGAGGAGCGGAGTGGCTTCGATGCCTGGACATCAGAGATGCAGAGATGGGGATACTTGGGTATGCTGGGTGTGAGAGTGAGGAACCACGGGACCGGCAGGTTGACAAGTCAGCAGCGACATGAGACAACAGAATCTGAAAGAGAAAGCCAAGAATTCTTTGAAGGACCCAGCCCAGCAATGACAATTTGAAAAAGAATCCCTGCTTCTTGTTTGAATTGAAAGGTCGCAGTTGGAGATGGCGACGGAGTTTGGAACTAAAAAAGGGAGTTGGGGTCGTAGTTGGGACCTGGACTTTGGGGCGTTGCCATGACAGCCACATGCATACAAATTTTACCCACTTCAAATTGTGCAGCCCGGCCATGCATATAATGGCTTGGCCTTTTATCAACTAACAAATACCAGGCAACAAAAAACTTTCCAGCGATGGATGACTACAGTTGCAGACGCAGTGGGGCAGTGGGGGTGCCCGGAGTTGGGGGTCTTCCCCAGTTGCACTGGAAAACTCAATTTGAATATTGTTGGACTACGAAACAGGAAAAGAGCCGAGAGGCGGACCGACCAAGACTTGGAGCGGGCTGCTCCAAGACGTGCATACCACATGATGAAATGCAGTCAAGTTAAAAAGTGTCACTTGAGTTATGAGTTCATTGTTTGGAGTTACCAAGACACCGGCCAGCCGAGTGGGGATAGATGGATACGGATGATGATGGAGCAGGCTGCCTTTCAATGGGATATTGTTGCGAGTCGCTGGCTACAGTGGAATTGGCCTGGAAAGGATTGCCGGGCGGTGGTGACTGGATGACTAAGACGACTGCGGTGGCTCGGAAAATATTGTGGCGGCTGTGTAGTTTATTGCTAAGTCAATCTGCAGATACAATGCTGCCTGTGTTTCAGCCGGCTGGCTTGGGATTAATTTGATTCCAGAGCTTTGATAGAGAGTTCCAAGCGCTAGAACTAATTCCGAAGATAAGTTCATGCTCCCGCCCTCGAACCGCACAATTGTCACCCCGAATGCTCGGCTTTTTTTTTGTTCAACACTTGCTGGGTTTTCCTGCTGCCCGGTATTATCGCAGTCAAGCGATCTCGTTTTGCTGATCCGCTGTCAGCGATAACGGGTGTGCGATAGGAAAATAATAGATATGGCATAGACACAGTCATATGAAATGAATTTCAATTTTGAAAAATTGCTTTCAAATGCGTGTGTGAAAAACGGAAATGCTGCGCCACTTCCCCTTCCCCTCTGTGTGTTTCCTCTTTTCGGGCGAGGAGCGTGCGCCCAAATTAGAAGCCAAATGGCCGGGAGGGGTTCGTCCAATATTTACAGCCCGAAAAGTTGACACTTTAGTTGCTGTTCTTGCACATTATGTGCGGGTGCACGTTTCCCGCTCGGGAAAACTAACGGCACAGTACCGCTCAAGATGCACGGGCACGGCGATGGCGATCGAACCCCCGGTTCACACCAAAAGTCCCCGGAGGGCGCGATCTTCCAGCGGCGTAGAGCCGAATTTACATATGCAAGAGTTTTATTGCTAAATCCTTATTATGTGGGAACTGGCCCAGTGTATCTCATTGTCGGGCTGGAATTTAATTATCGGTTGCATGTCAACGCCTTTTCAATACCTTCATTATGCTCCTGGGTCGCGGCGCAGGGTCATAATTAAGCGCGCCTAAATATACACTTTTGGTGAATTCTAATTTTAATTGCCGCCACCGTCTATTTCGGTTCCAATTCGAGTCTCCAAGCCGCCATGGCAACCCACGTCTCTTGAATAGAAATGCAGATACACGGTAACTGAAATTTTATTTAAATTACCCGGATGTTAACAATTTTCTGTCCATGGGCTTTGATCGCACAGTAGCATTTGATTTATGAATATAATTTAAGGTTGTACCAGCAACTGATCAGAAGTAACGGCTTGGCAGCGGCCATGGGAATTCAAATTCATTTTGAAAATATCGTAGAAATAGTTAACTACATGGCGTAAAATAAATTTATTCAAAATCAAATTTTGAGCATATTGTTCTGATTTTTGAAAAAATTGCCCCCACATTTGCAGTTTACCAAATTCCATTGCAAACCCCAACGCAATTGGGTACATTTTGATCTAAGTAATCAAGAAAGTGGCTTTTGGCCGTCGAAAGCTTTCAAGTGGCTTAAGGCCCAACCAATTCCCCAAACTACCTCAAAGGCAATCATGTGTACATATCTCTTGCCATCTGATGCCTCGTAGAATAACAGAAAAAATATAAAAAACTCGCCTAACCAACTCAAATCAAGCAATTGACTGAGGGGGCCGAACTTTGTTGTCAATCAAATTGTCGCAAGGGCCACACGCAAATTTATTAAATCGATATGCCGTCAAAATTGAAAGTGGTTGGGTATGGCAGGTCGGGGAAATGGGATTGGTTAGCTGGAAAATCCCCGCGTTGTCAGACAGTTGAAAGCCCAGTGCAAACATTTGCCTTGATTGCACTCGATATGCGCCATCGAACGATTCTCCATTGGCCTTGGCAATGCCGAAGAGCAAATATTTGAATGTCGTGAAAAATGGAACAGTTGTGGTTGTGGGTGGAAAATGATGTGTGCGAGGAGAACGTCTGCGAAAGTGGGCTGCATAAATTTATTGTTATTACAAGCGATTTTCTAAAATAATTAATAGCAAGTGTGCGAGGTTTCTGTGGCTGTCACCAGCAGAAATTACAATTACAAGAACAGTTACATTGCGCACAATGGGCCATTTCAAATTGGTAGTACGGTAGGGGGGTAGAAATCGGCATGGTGTCCGGCAATTGTGCATTTTGTCAATGGGAATTAAATTGGCAGTCGTCGACTCTCAGAACGTCAACTCACACCACCAGCACCGCCGGGAAGGAAATGACAGCAGAGACATTTTGGCGGGGGAATGGGGAATGGGACTGGGATTGCGAGTAGGATTTCAAATGCTCGAAACGGCAGGATGTCAAAGTTCCTAAAGGGACCGAAGTCCGGGTGGTTCAATTGTGGGCATGTTGAGCGGTCTGTCCGCAGTGCACAGGATTCAGGACTTAGAACGCCGGATTCAGGATTCGATCGTTCAGTTGGCTGGCCATTCCCATCATTAGCGCCTGTACGTGTCAAATTGATGCTGTTATTGTTCTCCCCCAGCCAAAGTGTGTGTGTGTGTGTGTGTAGTATATATCCTGGAATGACCGTGAGTACTATTTGACATTTAGCTTAGCCGCGGGTGACAAATTTAATGGACGCACCGAGTTCTTTTGTTCGATTGAGGGTGCCGTTTCACCCAGTCGATTGTTAGGATGTCTAATTACTGTTCTATATTCCAGACATTTGGCATAAATATTTTGTAAATACCAGCCCAAAAGTGGAACAGCACTCAGATGGCAGCATTCCAACCGCAAGATAAAGGTATTAACCCTTTTTAGCCGAAAAGCTGACAAGTGTTAGGGCGCTAAGAATCGTGACATACCGATTGCACGTACTATTCGTGGTTGATATTTGAATTCCATAAATGGTTTACCACATTACCATAGGTAGAACTTTATATTCTCCAGCAGAAATATTTGATGCTTTCGTTGTGATTTCCCGCAAACACTCTCCTGGCATAAATCAATTAGTTGTGGACAGTTTTCCACGTTGAAATCGAGCTCGTAAATTAGAAATGTTATAAGGCACACACAAGTTTTGAATGAATAAGCAATGTGCATTTGGCTTCGAGTTACCTGCGGTTCTACGTGGCTTGGCCATATCGTAGATGGCCAAGCTTTGGGCCCGCTCTCAAATAAATTATTTTTGATTGATGTGGCTCGAAAAGACCGAGCACGTGCAACCGACTCGTTGAGATTCGTCAAAAACTCAGGCCCGGAGGACCGAGATGATGATTAAAATGCAGCCAAGGTTACGTGTGGCGTCCATCGAAAAAATATCCAGCGAAAGAAATAACACAAAAAAATATATATGTTTTAATTGTCTCGGCCTTTGGGCATTTGTTCGAGTGAATGCTCTTTTGTTCCTCGAGGGGAGTAAAATACTCGCACATATGATTTTTGAGTTCTTCGAATTAACGAGCTATGGACGTGCACGGCATTCCACTGACAATTATATACATGAAAATTCTGAGTAATTTATTAAACGATGGCTTGGTTTTGGGCTGTGTTTACGGTAAACTACTTTAGTGACGCCTTGTAACAGTTCTTGGGAAAGCGGTCAGCCGGCCATTCAGAAAGTCGCTAAATGAAAACCCCAAAGCCCATCCGACTCTACAAACTTGCACGTGTCCAAATTGCTGA